TTAAAAGAGTATTTTGTGGTAGCACTGATGTGATGCATCAATTTGTTTGTTTGTTTTCTTGATTTTAAAAAAATCCTCCAAGAAGTGGAAGAAGACAGCAGAAGCAACGAAGAGGATTTATTTTTCTTTTCTTTTAACATGTCTTAATGGTCAGATCAAGAACCTGCTCACAGCCCAATCCACTGCTGGTCAGTACTTGGCGGTGGATTTGGTTGCACACAGGTTCTTGACTTGACCATTAAGACATGTCAAATGAAGGGGGAGGGGCGGAAATCCCGTTCATTGTCCTCTCCGGTCTCCTCCCATTTATGAGAGGAATTTTTCTATTTTTTTAAAAATTATAAGAACTGCAGCACATCATCACTGCCCTAATACAGTCTAATAACCCTCCCTCACTTCCTCTGCCCCTTCATAGAGCAGAGGAAATATTTAATTTGCAAATATTGTGAAGTGTCTCTCCAGCCATTTCATGATATGGGAAATCCCCAGCAGTTGGAGCAGAACCAAACAGGGATGCTTGATGGCCAATATGCCATTAAGATGGGAAGATCCTATGAAATGGCATACTGGACCTCTGTCTGACCCCCTAAGTAAAACAGCAACTGATTAAGATCATGTAAGTGCCTCTAGATCTGTTTATTTAATGCTGAAGCAGGCAATAAAGGAGATTGGTGGGTTTCCTTGCAGAGTCTATTCCACAGCAGAACAACCACCATTAGAAAAGCTCCATTCTGCAGCCTAGCGGCTCTCTCTTCCCAAATTGAGGGATACAGTAAAGCACATTCCAACAGCCCAAGATGGTAAAGGGGCTTGTATGGGAGAATGTGTTAACTATATGCAGTGTGCAAATCCTTGTATCAGAGTCCTGATACTTATACTTTTCTTTTAATTCCAGCCAAAAACCAGCTTTACGGAAAGAAATGCAGAGCAACATACCACGACCTGTTGGGGTCCACTCAACATTACCTCAGCCTGCAACTTCTTTATTGTAAGTTGTCTCCTCTCCTTCTGCTCTTCTTTTCAGAACACATAAGCCAACATGGCGCTCTCCGCTGCAGATTTCCTTTTCCCAAAGCAGCTTTTCTAAAAAAGAACAAACCTATATTCAGGCTCTAATACAGGGTGAGGGCAGAAGGAAGATCAGGATACACTAATAAATCACAGTAGGTCAACAAGAGTTTCTGACGTCTAATTGCTAACAAGAGCAACTACAAATGGCTGCCCTGCCCCCAGTTAGGTTATTATGCTTTGTGAGAAATACTTGAGTCCATTTTTGCGCAAACAAGACAGTGAATTAAACTTAGATAGTTAAAATGTCTTGGGCTGAGTTTGTGCTTAGAGGTACTTTATTCCCTTAATTCTATATACAGGTCAGTCCCTAAAGCTCTTTTTAAATACCCATCTCCACCCAGTGAATCTTAGCGTTGTTGTGAAAAATCAAAGCAAATACTGCAGGCCTGAGGTCCGTCCACCCATGTTTTAATATGCATGTTTCTCTGTAATGCACGATTAGCCCTTGGGTTATTCTGAGGCCAGTCCTTCCTTTTCCTTCTGTTTACTATTCTGTTCTTTGTTGTTATTATGTTATTTTTGTCTTGTGTGTTTTTAAAAATCTAAATGCTCAGATTTGTAGTTCTTCACAAAGCATCACCTCTTGTCAGATTTCTTTTGTGTTTGGTGAGTGTACATTTGTATCTTCCCACTCCATAATCCTTTTAAATATACCTTTTTTAAAAAAGACATTACAGTATAAACTTTTGTATCATTACTTCAATTTTTTCACGCCCACCTGAATTTAGCAGCATACCAAAATGGCAGACATATAGTATTTTATATTATTATATGTATTTTTAACAAGTCTGCCCTTCCTCTCCCTTCTCTTCTCTATTCTTCCCTTCATCGTTACTTCTTTCTTTTCTGTGTGTATCTGTATGGCTTTGTGAAGCTCTGTATTCTTGAAGACATAAACCCAAAAGAATTTCAAAGTGACATTGGAGAGTGCCAATTCTTTCTAGAGCTCCACTGACGAGAATTATTCTTCTTTGCAATAGGCCTCAGAAACTCTCAAAAGAGATTATTTTAGAGATGTGGATTAGTTTATAGTAAAACTCTAACAGTAACCGTTGGGGGAGGGCAGGGAATGCTTTTAAAAATGGGTATAGTAGATCCATTAAAAAACTCGGCATCTCTTTGTGTTATGTTCAAACCTGGGATTTGAACATTAAATACATCCACAAAATCAGTAAAGCGCTGCCCTGTTTTGCTGCTCTTAAGAATAACTCCAGCTTTGGAAATAATACAAAATGATCCCTTTTCTGTCTGTGTGACGGGAAGAACAAAGGAGCAAAAACTGGTCTGCATCCACCAGCATGCTTCCTGTTTATACTGTGGTCCACAAACCTGTCTTAATGGGCTGTTTGAATATGGCCAATGTGTTAAGAAGCACACATTACAGATTGTAATAAAGATATGCCTCAGTAAACATAGCAGAAAACAAAATACCGTAGAGAATGTAATAGCAGTCCTGGACATAAAAATTGCAACCAAGTCCCTTTGAAACCAGTCAGACTCAGACTCATCCTGTTTGCTTGCTTTTCAAAAATATGAATGTATTTTCCAAATAAAATAAAAACAAATGCATTAGCATAGCATGCATCTTGCTAACATACAACAAATTCATAATCATTAATTACTGTTTGTACATGTTTATTTAACCCCACAAGAGTTTATTTTTCAAAATGCCAACAACAAAGGTTTCTATGGTTCTTTCTAGAGACAAACAAATTTATTATGCAGCATGCTTTCAGTCTAATCATCAGATTTCTTTTCCAAAAAGCCCATTATTTCTCTCTCTCTTTTCTAATACATGTAAATGTATAGTTTCGCTCTATACAACCCATCTCATAATTTGTTTCTTTAGGAGTATTTCACAGATTTCTGATATTTAGGCAAAACTATAATTGTAGAACATAATCAGATTATTATCTGAAACAATGAAATGCAGCACTGGGTTTTAAAAAGTTATGTTTGTTTTATTTTCATCTGCTTTACAGAAATAAGCATAAGAATCTAATTGCACTTAATAAACATTTAGCAGTGATTAATATTTGCTAAAATCTGTCCTTCATTTGTTTTCTATGGATGTACATTAAAGGCCAAGCTAGACAGGATGCTTTTGGGAAATCCCATTGAGCATAGTAAGGTTTGTCTTTCCATCTCTATATCTCACATTTTTAGAAATGTTAAGATAGCATCCATGGGGCCCTCATTAAAACTGAAACTGGAATACAACTTTTCTCCTATTTGTTGTGATCATGAAAAAAAATCTGGCTTTCATCAAGACTGTAAGAGACAGGAAGTCCTTCCTTGCGCTTTGCTGTTATGATGCTACTCAGAGTCCACCAGTACTTATATTTTTAAAAAAACATGCATGTTAATTGTGTTCATGCAGTTAATATCACATCTACCTTGGCAATAAAATAAGTTGCCCAATGAAAGATACAAAGAGGTTGTCACACTCCATCTCTTTTTATCAGACTGGTGCCATAAGGCAATGCTTTACTTTGTCTTCAATTGGTTGGTCACACCCCATGATCCAACTACCTATAGTAGTCTGAATGCGCAGCATCAGCACCATAATTAATTTATTTTTAATGCTTTTCTGGAATCAGCAGACAAATGGGAGACAGAAAGAGTGAAACATCAGGCAAGAAGAGACTAGGGCAGGAACTACATATTTCAGATAGCTCAGTTACCAGCCAGCTAGGTAGCCAGGAAGCTTCCCAGCTGGTCTTCTATGGAGGACAACTCTATCAGCTCTGTTTTCACTGCATATCTAGGGCTCTGCTGCCCCAAACCTGTGGCTGGAAGCCTCTCAGTACTAGTCAGTCAGCGATGGAAGCCCTAGTACAGTTTTCAACAGTGCACATTAGTGCCATCTTTAAACTGCATCAGAAGTTGGGTCGTGTGCATTGACTAAAGTTGCTGTGAATTTACTTTGGGCTTTCCATAACAAGTAGTTACAACCTAGAAGTTGTATATGAAAAAGACATGAATTAAATTAGATTTAGCCCCATAGTAAATTTTTTCTTTTCATCTCTATATCCCCATTATGGCTTTATGGTTACTAAGCTTTAATACTGAACGGAGGTTGATAAATGGTAGTACTAAGGTATGTAGTGGGGTTAGCAGAAAAGTCATTCACATAGTACTTTGGACATTATTATCTACAACAACTTTACAACAGAAACATCAGTGTCTCTATGGCAAGTCTAATGAACACCAATCTTAGATCTGGGAAAAGTCCACAGGTGGGACACTCTGAGAGGGAGCATTATGCTGGAGTACAACATACGTATTGTGTGCCAGGACTGAACTTTCTCAATTAAATGGAAACATATTTGAATTTAGGATAATAAGATATTGGGACATGCCATCTACGACGTACCTGAAGGTACACATTGCGAAAATAAGGGCACTTATACATTTGTTCCTCAGCTTGATATCTTGGTCTCTTATCCCCTCCTGTTATCTGACCTGCCCTCCTCCCCACTTGAGTCGTTAATCAGGCTCCACTGTCTGATTAGGTACCAGCAAAGCAGCTTGGCAAGCAGCTAAACCCGTCTTTCCTAGTCCCTTTGGCTGCAACTGCTCTACAGTTCTTGAGGATAAGCTCTGCTTAGCAGAGGCTTTCAAGCTTTAAGAGTGATTAAGAAGACAGGAATGTTGTGAGTAGGGGCGGGGGGAGATGGCTCACTTGTAGTCATGCCAGAAGAACCCCCAGGACCCCTAAGGTATAAAAGGGACCTGTACGTCCACTCAGTTATTTATTACTCACTCACCATGATACTCCAGGCTGTGCAAGTGCTTGTAACTCCACACCATCTTGGGGACAAAAGGATGTGAAGTGAAGCCAGATGCTCTAATTCATTTTGCCTCCTGCCTCCTGCTTTAGCTACCTCCATCACCTTTGTTCCGTCTCTATCCACCCCCATCCCCGTGGACCCTCTCTATCCATCTCCTCCTTTTCTCTGTCCTGTTCATCCAACCAATTTTACACACATCCTTCTGCCCTTTCAACCTCACCACTACCTTTTCTCCTGCTACAATCCCAACCATGCTCAAAGCTCGGCCTATATCTCAAGATGAACTCCCTGATGATTTTTTTCTCCCGATGCACTTGGACATTCCCAACATAACAGCTCTCAGTCCCTTCTTAGTACCTCAAACTCATCTGGGTAGTCCAGGCCTCTTCATGGGCATGGCGGCCTTCATGTTCCTGTTGATTGTTACTGGGGTGCCGATCAACGTCCTCACGATCTTCTGTACCTTCAAGTATAAGAAGCTACGTTCCCATCTCAACTACATCTTGGTCAACCTTGCTGTGTCAAATTTGCTGGTGGTCTGCATTGGATCTACCACCTCCTTCTACAGCTTCGCCCAGATGTACTTCGCCCTGGGCCCCACTGCCTGCAAAATAGAGGGCTTTTCTGCTACTTTGGGGGGTAAGCAAACTTCAATAGAACTGGCAGGACTGGACGGGCAGAATGGATCTATGGGCCAGCAGGAAGAAAGATAAAGAATTGGGGGTGTGGAAGGATTGTTATTTGAGATTATAGGGGCATGAAAATACAGGGATATCTGAGGATTCCACTCTATCATTAAAGATACCGTGTATATTATGAGACAGTTTGATTAGCAAAAGGGCACTTTGTGAACAAGTAAAAAAGAAACCAGAGACTGCAACTCGGAAAGCATGGCTACCTATATGTGATTATCTTCTATATCTGCATTTGTGTATAGGCTTGATTTTTGAGAATGAACACCGGTAGACATTTCTATTCTCTTGCTCTACTCCCATCCAGGTATGGTGAGTTTGTGGTCCTTGGCAGTTGTGGCTTTTGAACGATTCCTGGTCATCTGCAAACCCCTAGGAAACTTCACATTCAGGGGTACCCATGCCATCATTGGTTGCGCTATTACCTGGGTCTTTGGTTTGGGGGCTGCATTACCACCCATGTTTGGCTGGAGCAGGTATGTGCCAAAGAGGTAGATTGTGTCAAGGTTGCTGGGATGAGATTGTGGGAGTGGGTATAGCTGGGATTCAACAGAGGTGTAAGGCTAAAATCAGTAGCTGATGTGGAATCGTCAGTGTGGAGTCCCTTGTGTTTTCTCTCACTTCTGTGTGAGGCCTTCCCTTCTTTGCTACGCTTGTTGTGTGTAGAGTAAGAGAAGCATTTCCCTGTGCTTTTAGCTGTTTGCAGTGGAAACATGCTGCATGTTAAAAACTGTTTTAACTTCCTTAGATATATTCCTGAGGGACTGCAGTGCTCATGTGGCCCCGACTGGTACACAACAAACAACAAGTGGAACAACGAGTCGTATGTGTTGTTCCTCTTCTGTTTCTGCTTTGGAGTGCCACTGTTTATTATTGTCTTTTCATATGGTCGTCTGCTTCTCACTTTGCGGGCTGTAAGTACCACCTGTCTCTCCTCCTCTCTCTTCCCATCCTCTGGTTATGACGCTCTGCGAAAGAATAACAAATAGGACAGCCATCAGAATTCAAATGTACGGGTGTCTAATTGTGAAAGTTGAAGAGGCATGTCTAGAGAGGAAATGTTATGAACGTATAGTGTTGCTTTGTACTACAGAAAGAGCACCGGCTCTTCCTGACCCTGCTATCACATAACCTTTGAATTCAGGATTTAACATAGAACCCTCCAAATGAAATGCATCTTTTTGATCCTGATGTAATCACACTCTTTCCCCCCAGGGCAGGCTGTTGGCGTTTTTGAAACATTTGAACTCCTGTCAGTGTTTCCTGAAGGAACACTCTTGACCAACAGCTTCTGCTCTGTGCAAAGTTCTTCTGGATAAGAATCAAAATAGGAGTGGCACTAATGGATAAACGCATCCAGTGTTTGTGAGACTGCCTGTCCCGTTCCAGAGAGAACTGAGGCTACAGAATATGGGGATGGGGTGGGGTGGGGTTGAATGTTGCTGCTGCGCAATCTCAATGAAATTGTGACTGAACCTCCCTTTGGCACCAATAAACATTGCTCTTGTTGGATTTGTAGCAGCTTCAGCAGGAGAGAGGGAAGTTTCTCATGAAGCGCATAGGAAATGGTCCACTTCCCCCTCATGTGTTACTGACCCAATATGAAACAACCCCCTTCCTACTAGAATGCTTAGCGCGCATTCACACCCTCAAGACATGTAACATTCATATGTGCCACATCTACTTTTGCTTGAAGAGATTGGCGAGAACCTAGGGTCCATCTATGTCATCTCATGCAAGAACGGGAGAGGAAAAGCATTGTGTTATTCTGTTTTATTTAAGCCCTTTGCAACCCTGACACCAGCAGGTATGTCCACAGGGGCAGTTTTATCTGTGCACTAAGACTACACATGCATATTTACACACACAGCACCTGTATAAGTGCGTGGCAGCCCATGCAAATCTGTGGCAGCCGTTGGCCTGTTCTCAGTGCTACCCTTCCTCCATTGGTTTCTTTCACCCTCTGCTGCTGATTGAAGAAATTGCAATGGTGAAAATCTAAAGGAACTACAAGCAAAGAGGAGGCGCTAGAGTTTATTATTGGAGTGGTCACAGCGGAAGCATCCTCAATGGATTTGAACTATAGGAAAGAAGGTTTTTATGTTGAATATCAAGGAAATCCTAAGAGCTTGAGCAGTGGTGGTTACGCAATCTCTAATCTCAGTGTTTCGTTTTTAAACTGTCGAATGCCATCTGTTGGTGCTACTCTAAGTAGGAGCAATCTAGTTTTAAGCAAGTGAATCCTATGTTTTCTATGATTCTTATCTAGAATGTTGCCTTCACTCCATACGTAATAGGTTCCGTCATAAGAGACAGAGGTCACGGTGAAGGGGCTGCAAATAGCCAATATTTTATTACAGCAGATAATTTCACAGCAGAAACTGAACTCCTATTTTTCCATGCATGTAGTTTATCTGTATTTGGTAGACTTAACTAATACATCAGTCTCTGTGCTATTGTTCTCAGTTTTCTGTCTTCACCAAGGTGCAAGTAGATCACGTCAATATGGTAGCCCTTATGTTGTGTGCATTCTGCCAGCTGGGCTTCAATGTCTTTCACGCATGGCCTATCATCTTCCCACCCCCAATCAGGTTGCCAAGCAGCAGGAGCAGTCAGCCACAACGCAAAAGGCTGAGAGGGAAGTAACCAAGATGGTGGTGGTGATGGTGATGGGCTTCCTGGTGTGTTGGATGCCATATGCTTCTTTTGCATTGTGGATAGTGACGCACCGTGGGGAACCCTTTGATGTCCGCCTGGCTAGCATCCCCTCTGTCTTCTCCAAGGCCTCCTCAGTTTACAACCCCGTCATCTATGTCTTCATGAACAAGCAGGTCAGTACAAATAGGAAGCAGTGGAGACCAAGGTGGGCTGGGCAAGAAGAAAGAGTGAGGGATTCATTCTACCCCACCTCTTTGACTCATTGGCTCTCGCTAGAGTCATTTGGGAACCTGACATGCTGTTCTACTTGTTCTGATTTGTCACGAACACACACAACTCCCCAGTGTTAAGGATTTAACCCAAACTATATGGAGCCCCATCTTTCCTAATTGTATCAGCATTTCTCCCTCACCTTATTGCCCCTTCTAGTATCATGGTCCATAGGATATACCGTCTGTATTCCTCTTCCAATATAGCATGGCTCTGGAACCCCTTACTGGCCATACGTGCCAGGACGCTGCTTTAGAGAAACTTCAGCTTTGGAGATAGCTAAGAGACATTAATGATGAATTTAGAAGCAACGTAGGGACTGTTAAAAAAAAATCAGTAATGATAGACAATGAGTAGAAGTAGTCAAAATATTTCTCTGAAAGACCAGTTGTCCACCCATATGTGTCGCCCACAGTGGGAAGTTAGGAGCGTTCTGTGTTACAGATTCAGTTCATGTGGGACGACAGTGAGGACCAGCTGACACACCAGGCCCTCTTTGCAGCATAAAAGGGTTCCAGGGCAGACAGGCAGATGTAGACGGATCACCTAAAATCTGATGACCAGAGCCAGAACCCTGGTATTTCTCCCTGTCCCTTTTTAGTCTCACTGACTCTGAGAACACCTCTCCCTCTTTGGAGGCATCTTGGGTTGTAATCCTGCTAATTAATATTCTCTCTCTCTCTCTCTCTCAGTTCCGCTCCTGTATGTTAAAGTTTGTCTTCTGTGGGAAAAGCCCCTTTGGTGATGAAGATGATGTTTCAGGTTCCTCACAAGCCACCCAGGTCTCCTCTGTGTCCTCCAGCCAAGTGTCCCCAGCATAACCATGGGCAATGCCCACACGGCCCACTCTACCTCCAGGGCACTCCACATCTGTGTACAGCACTGCTCCTCACCCTGCACGTCAGGATATTCCTGGTGTGCATTACTCCTGCAAGTAGCCTGTTCCCGTTCCTCCCCGCCCTCCCGCAACAGGCATTTGGCTGCTGTGCAGATCATTCACACTACATATCCCAGCAGGCCAGCTGTTGCTCCACAAGTCTCTATATCTAATGGTTCCCACGGCAAGAAGTTCTGTTCATGGACTGTTTATCCCTACCCCTCTAAAGCGAATGCAATGATTGCACACATACTGATCAGGGGAGTCACGTAGCGGCTATTCCAGTACAGCCAAGTCTCTCATTTCATGGAAGTGGTATCTGGCTGGTACAGCCTTCCTGGTATCTGCTAGTGCAGACATTTCTGCAAAAGGAAAAAACATCTGGGTTATAAATGAATGTCTCTCTGTGCTCTGGCTTCTGTGCATTGACAATTAGGTGTGCTATGAACTGCTAGCTTAACAAAGTGATTGTAACGGCAGGGAGTATATTCATCTACTTTTGCCTCCATCAGAGAATTGTCGCTCCTGGTCAATATCAGAACTAGCACATCAGCAGTGTATGTGCCTCATTTTTAGATGGTGGAAGGAAGTTTATCTTTAAGTAGTGAAACTGCACTGCAGCCCTGTTTCTTTCCTTCTATATTCCATTCTTTCCAGCAGGGGGCAGCAAGAACATACCATAGCAATACCTTCAGAAAGCCACTCTCATGCCCTTCAGAAGTACAGTACTGTATAACGCAAGAGGGACCCACAACCACGCATGCCCAGATGCAATTTGTATTCAAGGTGTCCCCAAATTACGTGTCTATAGATACTTTTAAATGGTTGTTGCAAGGCATGAATCACTAGTGTAATGGTTCCTCCGGAGCAAAGATAGGTTGCTGCACAGGTCCAACCCTGTGCTCCTGTATTGCTTGAATAAACAGACACTTCAGCACAGAGTTCAAGATCGGTATGCCAGGACCATAAGGCAACGAACCAGTCACCCTTTGAAAGATGTCTGTCCAGCGTTCCATTACAGATGTGCATGCGTGCGTGTGTCTAAAAAACCTCCTCAGAGCATTCCACTACTGAAGATCCCTCTCACCGGGGCTGTCACGGGAATAACAAGACCTCTGGAATATCTGTTTAGTACTCACGGGTATTCAGAAAAACAGATAGCTATACTTTAGGCCACAAAAGCAAGAGCCAGCAATACTTAGCACGTATAGAGCATGTGAACATGTTCCAAGCATTCTACTTGCATTGCCTCAGAAATTCTTACACGAGAATTCCTGTGAGGCAGGTTGGTATTATCTACATTGCCAAAGGAACACTGAGGAAGAGGTATACAGTTGCGCTGGAGAATACTGTGTAAGTTAATGGCTGAGGCAAGATTTGAACTGGGTCTTCCTGATTCACTGTGTACTCTAACCAGAGGAAAATAATTATACAAGCACATAATCTCATAACATAATCATTCAGAAAACTCATGACATTAGAGCTTTGAGTATGGTTACCTCAAGTTTTCCCTCCATTCCTTATCTGTCATTCCCACCTGCCAATATTAGGATAGGAAGGACGGACAGAAGGAAGGAATTAGATACAGGGTGAGGAGACAGTGTGCTGAATTAGCAACAAGGTAAAATGGAATATAAGCAGGTAGAGGGTACAATCACACACCCTATGCCCCGATATACAGATGAGAGCATGCTGTTTCAAAAGGTAGGTGGGACAAATGGCCTCCTGCCTTTACTAATAAAATTGAGCACCGAGCAGCTCCCCTTTGCACCAGATAAACAGAGCAGATAACCTCATCTCTGTTGCATAGCACCCCCAGGCATTGCAGGGCAGTGGTTTTGTAAATTTGTACATATATAATAATCCCTCTGACCCACCTTCTTTCTGTAACTTCTCTCTTGTTAATGAAATAGCTCTCCCACACTGGTCCTTGGTTACAGGAATAAATACAATGGAGATGCAACTTTTGAATCCACTGTGGTGGTTGGTTCTTGGGGTTTGCAATTTAAAAAGGTGATGGAACCCCTGTTTCTCATTATCTCTGCATGATGGGGGCCGGGCTGTGTGGAGGAACAGCAACCCGTCCAGGAAGGGCCTTGAATTCAAAATACAAGGGGCCCATACATGGACAAGTTGCTAATGTGACTTTTTCTGGGAGATGATTGCCCCTTGCCCAGCCCCTCCAGTTTGACGGCTTGCCCTGTAGCCCTTTTCAAGCCTTGAAGTGGCACCTTGACCCCCTGAAGAGTGTAGGGCACGCGGCCGAGTTCTGCTAGTAGTGAACTTTTTCTAACTGTAAATAGTTCAGAACTAGCGGAATTCCTGACGAGAGCCCAGGAGGTTGGAGGCCAAGGGCCAGTTGAAGAGACCCACCCAAGCACTGCTCTCAGCGCCTCACTCTGCAAGCCAGGATCCCAAGCCCGTGACACTGAAGGAGATTTAGAAAAATCCATCTCCCAACAATTATCGACCACAAGGTCTACCTAATTCTGATTCCACTTGAAATCTAAAAACCATCAATTTTCTCCATAATATAGAACATAGTACATAAGATAATCACATGTCTCTACATTTGGGAACAACAGATTCTTAGCTTTAGTTATTATCTTTAGCTATTTCAGCCTCCGTCCATCCCAGAAGGGACATGGCCCCTGAAATAAAGAATAAAATCTCCCCTCCTTAGTGGTACTTAGCTTGACTTTAGGCTCTGGAAATGTTTCCACATCTCAGAGAGCTGGCTCAAGTGCTTCCTCAGGTGGTATCTGAGTGGGGCCCAGAGTCGAACCCTTCTAGGCAGCATTCAGCATCTCAGAGAGAAAGAAAAGGCAAGAGTCACCCGCTATGTGAATCGCGCAGAAATTATTCTTCCCTTTTGAGAGCCAGTCAAATATACAACTTAGTCTCTTTGTTCTCTGCTACTTGTATCTGAGCAACATTAACCCCTGAGAAATATTTGCATCTGAGCTATGTTGGCATATGCCGGATACAGCGCCCAAATATAAGAGAGCCTGAGGATCATATTCAAAGACTGCAATGGGGCATTTAAGCCCCACTATTAGATCTGAGGCAAGACATTGACAGGTCACTGCTTGTAATAGTACAACAGGCAGCTAAAATCCTTGTTTGGGGGGGCGGAATATGCAAGGGCATATTATGAGAAAATAATGAATATAATAGCTGCAATGGGGAGAAGGGTTCTTCCAGCTGCAGAAAACCACACAGTCAGTAAAAAGGGGAAAAAGTAGACAAAATATACACACACCACCTCTGACAGACTATACTTGTATTCTTCAGGGGCCCACAAAGGGTAAAAGTCCCTGGCTGTACAGATAAAAGAAGCATACCATAAATAGCACAATCATCCCTTGTGCTGATTGAGAAAAGTGTGTGCGTGTCAATTGTTAACCTCTGAAACCAACAAAGGAACATATAGGAGAAGGTCCATTTGGGTGCGGTGTGTGTTCTATACCCTTCCCACGTGTTTCACGTCATATATGATTAATCTTCAGAAAAAATATATATTTCTGATTGATTATTCCTTGAAAAAAGGTAGATTTCTGACTAGTGTGAAACATAAAAACAACACATTTTGTGAACAATAAATGCTGCGAAGTGCATAGCAGTTTTCAAATTGATATCGAGTCCTTATGGAAGAAGAGATCTGAATTCTGCTATAAATCTACCCCACTGCTCCTTCCCCTCACCAAGATATGACCTAACATTCCTAAACAGACTTGTTTATCCACTGCACAAGCAAAAAAACAACAACCACAAAACCTACACCATCACCAGAGATGCCTTAAGAATACGTAGGTTTATGTAGCATATTAGGAAATAATGAAAGTGTACGCTGATCTCGGTGTACACTGCTTTTCAAATGGCTGAAATTTCACTTGTGCACTGCTCATGAAGCTTGCATCTGCAAGCCTCCCTGAAAACCCCTTCCACCCAAATACATCAGAGAAATGAGGAAGCATCCGTGGTCCCTTCTTGCAGGCCTGGTACCCACTTAGCTACCCAAAGTACCTGTGGTGGGTTTGGTCCCTGTGGTGTGCCCCCGGCGCTTCCTTCTTTGCTGTGTGGCTCATTGCACCTCGGCCTCGCAGAACTCTGCCCCTTTTTCCGTGCCTGGGAGATTAAAGTTTCCAGTTTCCCTTAATCGGACTCCCCCGGAGTGACCCAAAAATCCCCTGGATTACAGGGGGCCAAGAGAGTGGGTGTCACCTCCCATCAGATGAGCAGCTTGAAACTTGGTACAGTTTGATGGTGGTGGGGGAAGGGATTAGGGCATGCATGAGCCAATAGGGCAAGAAGCAGAGGGAAGGGGAACCATTACAGTCACATGGTTACAGTATGGGTTGAGACAGAACAAGATGTTTGGATCCCGGAACTCATAAACAAATCTACATGGACCATAAGCCATGGATGCAGTTTCCTGGATAATCCTAATTAATGGTTGTTGTGGGTTCCCAAGCCAAACTACACGAGAGCACAGAGTGCTGTCCTCTGAAGATGCCGGACAAAGAGACTGGTGAAACGTTAGGAAGAACAACCTTCAGAACACAGCCAAAGAGCCCGAAAAACCCACAACAACCATTAGATCCCAGCCGTGAAAGCCTTCGCGAATACAAAATCCTAATTAAAATGAACAGAACTGGTCTGCATTGCTCCCATTAATTTGAATGGGAATGTTGCAGGAGAATTTCCCAGTGAACTGTGCCCAATGGATCCTTTCTGTATCTTCCACTCTGCTGCCTATAATGGAGCTCAAGATTCAAAGGCCTGGTCTCCAAATACTGAGGTGGAAAATCAACCTTTTAGGGGGTAATACATCACAGACAGCATTCTATTCAGGATGAACATATTTTAGATGTTGATCCGACTGTGAACGTAAATCAACAAATCTGTTCTTGCATACTATAGTATACTAAATGGCTGTTACAGTATGTCATGGAGATCTTCCTGTTCCCATGAAACCTCTGAAGGTGTAAGCTATGAGGTCCAAGGTAAATCAGTGTTTCTGGTGGGGAACTGGAAGCCTCAATCTTTGGTTTTCTAGTAGATCCTTATGCTTATATTACAGCAACTGGAAGCCCTAGCTGTAAACAAAAACAAAAACAAAAAAACACTTTAAAGGTTCTCCAGATGCTTGAACAAACAAACAAACAAACAAAAAACACTTTAAAGGTTCTCCAGATTCTTGGGCGTTAGTGCAAAACCACATTCCCACGGAGATGGAAAACCCATATCTAGGCTGAGCCATTTCAAACTGCAGCTAGTAGCTCACATTCTGACTACTTCTACACACCAAGATAAACATTTTTTA